AAAGGGGCGAAAGAGGAGTGGATGGGTGCACCAAACAATCATCGACTAGAAACGGAGGAGGTGCAGCGAGTTTCGGGGGGGGGGGGGGGGATAGGTTTTCAAGGCAATCTCCTGCTATCTCCTGCTGTTGTACTTCCTATTCTTGATTATTAATTGCACCTGAAATTTGCGTGAACCGCTGTGTTCCAGGAGAGGCGATTTCAAACTGGGCAAAAGAACGTCTCGGTGTCTCTGGAGATGGGCTTTGAAAGGACTCACAGGTCTCTCTCCCCGACGTGTGTCGAGAGCGATTGCGATTCCCTCTGGTCACATGTCCACGTTGTTCTTGTTGTGAGGATACGACACACAAAACCACGCGAAGTTGTTGCAGCAATCCCTTGGAGGCAGTTGTTGTTGGAATACCGTATACCTTTTGGCACTTAAAAACATCGTCAAGCGGTGGCGGTGGTACTCTGGAGGTATGTACAATGTACAACATGTAGTACTTCAAATTTTACATATTTTTGAGCTTTCATGTCATTGGTGGGCTCGTGTTGACGTATACATGCAATATGCCCCGAAACCCCACACCATAAAGTTGGGTTTTGCTGAGCAAACGCCTTGCAACATCATCCGGTGTCACGTCATTACAACATGACACGACATGGCGTTCTGCGCGCGATGAAACTACGGAATACGGTGCGCCCACACTTCACACCTCCGCGTTGCGCGCGGTGGATTCAAAATAAATATGTTTATTACAAAAAAAAGTGCTAATAGGATAATTAAAATCGCGGTTACATGATTCAGCCGACGAACGCCAAATTACTCCGGGAAAACATACTTGCTGCTACTATACACTGCTGCTGCTGCTGCTGCTGCTGCTTTATGCATATGACAGCATGGGTTTGACCAGTCTACATTGGTTGACATGTACACAGCAGTTTAATGAAGTACATCCTACATACTCTGTGCATTCAATGGTACCCAGACGTTACCGCACGTGTTCTTACGTTTTCATCCCATGTATTATGCTACGTTGCGTCTCATTTTATGGGGGGTGTTTGATTTAATTAATTGGTATTAGGTTTGGGGAATGTTTTTGGTTTTGGGCAGAATATGTTCCATATGGGGGGGTGTTTGATTTAATTACATGTACGTAATTGGTTTTAGGTTTGGGGAGTACATGAAGATATATTGTGATATGGGCGTGTTAATTTTTTCAGGTTTGGGGAGTACATTGTAATAGAAAGATATTTTGTGATATGGGTGTGTCTATTTTTATTTATTATTTCAGGTTTGGGGAGTACATATTGGCAGAAGGTACCGGAATGCGAACGGATATATATGTAGTCCGCAGAGAAACCGTGCATGCATACCGTTAGATTTCGAGATGGCATGGCTGGCGGATTACTGCAGACAAACAAACTGCGCAGTAGTTGTTGCGATGAATCCGATTGGATGATTGGATGAATAATGAATCCATGGATGGATGTGGAGAGCTAGTGGCGGATCCTGCTGTTGGTGGACAAGACGGAAGAAAGCGTTAAAAATTCGCCGATTTGTTGGCTATAAGCTGTAAATAGGTAGTACACGCATTTGGCGCGGCGAGCAAGGAGACAGCAGTGCGGAAGGATTGCATTGCGCTGAATTGCGAATTGCGCGGAGCGGATGTCTCTGCTACACCACGAGCCACGGGGACGGACGTCGCGGGGACGGTCGCGGGGGGCAGAGCAGCAAGAGCAGACTGCGCTCTCAGAATATCGCAGACCGTGAAGCAGCTGTAGTCTTATCACTTTGTTCTTTTCCCTCTGCTGCTCGACACATGATTCCGGCTGCAGTACAGAGTACCATAT